GAAGATAGACGTGCGTATAAATACTACTACCAAGAACGCAAAGGGCATGCCTAAGGAGCTCAAAGGTCTATTCGGTCATCACAGGAGTGTCAAAATGCTGCAAAAACATGCTACTGCCATAGCCAAGTTCGACGAGCTCCTTTGCTTTGAAGATGCTCACGAGAGCAACGGTAAGCACAAAGATGATCACGATGACGATTATAGCCAACACGTTGATACTGGAGTTGCGATCGGCATTGTTGGCTATAGAGGTGGTGGAACAATAGCGATGTTAGCGATTGCGGAGATGGAGAGAAGCCACCGCCGTCACTGGTTAGACGAAGTCGTACCCTTTTATTTAGCACAATTACTTTGCTCATGTGACGAAGGTAGTGATCGCTCGCTTTGTCGACTACCTGTTGCTCGATAGCAATGTGTGCTACAATACTGCTCTAAGCTATCTGAGTTGCATCAAGGTGCAACTGGAGTTAAGAACAGAGTCGCGTATCTTTGCCGACAACAATATTTGGTATGGAAGATTACGTCTTCGCTAACGGAGGCGTTCCATGAGGATCAACCTGAGAGGGAGTAATCTATCCACTCAAGTGCCTCTGGTGACCCCCAGGGGGCCCTTCGCCATATCGGTAAACACGCTTTTCGTGTCAAGTACTACTGGTTATTCAAAAGATCAGACTTTGCAGAACTGTCAATGGGCAGTTCTGGGAAAGAGCTCAGATGTTGTACGTCTCCGTTGAAAGGATCAACAGCTGAATGGGTCTATTCTTCTTTACCATATGTACCCGAGGACTCTTCTGAACAAAATATGGTGATAATCTGCACCGTGCTAACGCGGTATATCGATTCATTTCACAGCGTAGCCAGCCAAACCGTCAGTGATGTGTGTAGCACCACAACCCGAGTATTTCCGCAAATGCAAGGCGATAATACTACCGTTTACGATGCGCAGTACATTAACGGTTTGCTTACGAACATATTTTCGGACCAGGGCTCACGATTTCAATTGATGCCGTGGCTGCAGTGGCATTTCATACGTTTAGGAGCCGCGACGTATGCGGCATCAAGTGGTCGCTTTTATATCATCGAGAATACGGAGCGTGGAAAATGGAGTTTAGAACATTTTTCAAGAATGATGTGGTATATTGTTGCAATTTCGAGCAGTGATCCTAAGGTTTCTCGAGTTATGTCAGGTTGGAGCGACGCAGACATCCGTGAGCCGACGGGAAGTGCTTGTGAGTTTACCCTCCAGCGAGACTTTACACACCAATTATTTGCAGCATTTGAGAATCGCGTTAGAGGCCAGCCTTGTTCATTGAAACGCTGGCCTCAACTCTGTTGATGTACTTCTCGGACACTTATTCGCCTTGCCGGAACATATCGTTGGAATCCGGTATGACCGGCGGAACGCAGAGACAAGTTAGTGTACTTCGAGATTAGAGCACGTCTGCTCGTCAGTGTTTGTTCACGACAATGTTCGAGCACTCCCGGTTGATGCAATTATGACAAATCTCTCTGAGGAATCAAAGCCGTCCAAGTTTGTGAGCATACATACCTTTGAGGAGACCCTCGTACGATTGGTGGCAATGGTCCAAGAAACCGCAGTGACATCAGTGCAAGTTCTCAGTACCTTAAAAACGTTATGGCAATGAATGAGCAGCTTATTGCGGCGAATAAACATCTTCTTGCTTCGAACACACTAGCTACTTGCTGCTTCAAATCAACCTATATTGGAGAGATTATCCCATCTGGAAGCTGTTTCATCGGTATCTATGGTCCCGAGTAAGTCTACGTTGGGGCTACAACAGATTCCAACGTGA